AATTGCTTCTATTGTTTCAGCCTTTGCCTGCGCGTTCTGTTTGTGCAAGCGTGTGCGGATCTCAAGTGCCACCCAGGGACAGATCATTGGAAATTAACTTTTTTTTTTTCTTTGAAGATTACATTTTTACCAGGTAGAAAGATGAGCCTATTACAGGGCTGTTCTAATGAGGTAGGGACCGATTTACCATAATACAAGTATGAGATCCCCCGCCTTTCACAAAGTTGCGGAATCCTGAAAGGCAGAAATTTAAAGGAACGCTGTAGCAGAAGGGATTGTGTTCTGAAGTTTGTATGCGATTTAAATGTTTAAACTCAGAAGTTAGATCTTAAAAAATGCATTCAGGTACCTTAAAGTGACATTAAACCCTCAGATTTTTAACATAAACCAATACTGTAATGTGTGCCTTACTGTAATCCATGGTTGTTTCCCTTCTCTTTGCTGCTCTTCCTTTTAAATCCTCATGTCTTCTCATGCTTGGGGAGAACTTCCCTTTGCAGCTCAGGGCCTCTTCCTGTAGTGCTGGCTCAGGTTACAAGCCTGTACAAACCTACACACAGACACCGTGTATCCATTCCTATTCTACTGAAATTGTATTGTAGTGTAACTGTACTGTCTCCTCCATTTTGTAAAGCGCTGCGCAAATTGTTGGCGCAATATAAATCCTGTATAATAATAATAATAATAATAATTTTGGCATATTACTTTCAGGGTGCTGCGTCAAATAATGTGTTGTTTTTTTACTTGCCTCTGTTCATTGTTTGTTGGTAAAATGAATAAAAATATTGGTAAAAGAATAAAAGTATAAAGGTAAGAAGGAAGGAAGGTAAGGGGAGGTGAGTCCACATGAGCAGCAAAGAGTGAAGGAGAAGGGCAGGGAAGAGACAAGGGGATGAGGGGGTTTACATCTACTTTTAAAGGCAATACAGTGAAATGTGACCATTGTAAGCATCCGACACATGTAAGTCCCATCGCACTCCTGACCGACATAAACCCAAAATTCACATGTGGGTGCTGCAGTGATTGCAGATGGCGCTGAAAATCAATCAGTAGTAGATGAAGAAGTCAACGGAACTCCAATATTTGCTCAACCAACCCATCTTTATTGACGTTGGAATGTTACATCACAATGTAAAACAATGTTTTGGAACCATGTCAGTTCCTTCATCAGGCAAACAAAGCGATGTTTGCCTGATGAAGGAACTGACATGGTTCCGAAACGTTGTTGTAACCTTCCAATGTCAATAAAGACGGGTTGGTTGAGCAAATATTTGAGTACTGGTGACTTCATCTATTTATTGTAAGTAGGGATACACCGATACCGATACTAGTATCGGTGCCGATAGTGAGTACTCGCCCAAATGCTCCAATGCCTAGCCCGATACTTCCGGTATCAGGCAGCCAAGCAGCGAGTCATTACACGCTGCCCGACTTCCTGATTGGCCGGGAAGCTGGCTCCATGCTTCCTCATCACAAGTGACTAGGGAGCATGGAGCCGACTTCCCAGCCAATCAGGAAGCCGGCAGCGTGTAATGACTTGCTGCCCGGCTTCCTGATACCGGAAGTATCGGGCTAGGCATTGGAGCATTTGGGCGAGTACGAGTACTCACTATCGGCACTGATACCGATACTAGTATCGGTATCGGTGCATCCCTACTTACAATAAATAGATGACGAAGTCGGGAGCTGGCCAATCAGGAAGCCAGGCTTGTAATGACGCAGCACCCGGCTTCCTGATTGGCTGGAAAGCCGGCTCCATGCTTTCTCGTCACCTAGTGACGAGCAGCATGGGGACGGCTTCCCTGCTAGTCGGAAAGCCAGGTGGCAGGGCATTACACGCCGCCTGGCTTCCTTAATGGGACTTCCGGTATCGGTATTCGGTATCGGCGAGTACCGGGACAAAAATATTGGTACTTGTACTCGATACCAAAAAACGGTATTGGTGCATCCCTAATTGTAAGCATCCCTCGCAATGCTATAGTTTGTCCCAACCACCTGTCACATTTGCTGGACAGCTTAGTCTGCGTGTAAATGTAGAGAAAATATAATCGAAAGGCATGTGAAGTAACAAGTGATTGATATACTGATCACTATCATTGCATTGTCTTCAGTAAGGGGTAGAAATCTTCTAGCGGGTATTCATGGTTTACAATGGCGATATGTACAGCAGCTTGCTAAAATACTATAGCCGGCTACTGTACCTGTGCCCTCTGTTGACACTCACTTGTGTTGTTATCATCAATAGCTTTGTTGGATGACATGAGAGGCCATTGAAGCAGGAAATCTTGTCACCAGGTGAAAACGCTGCAAGAGATGAATCATCAAGTGAATGCAACAAAATCTCTGGAAAATAGCAGTTCCATTGACTGCAAATGTTTCCTCTGGGTACTCCGCTTTACAAAGACATGTGGGAAGGTTAATTGGCTCCCATCTAAATTGGCCCTACTATGTGTGTACGAATTGGCTGTGCACGTGTGTTATCTCATGCATCACTGTCCCAAGCTCATACAAATGGAGAGGGTTGACCTGGCAACCCACTGCGTAAAACAAAAACAGAAATGCCAAGAAAAATCTATGAAAAAGGCTGTCAAGTGTATCAGATATGGCGCCCAGAGAGCAGGCCATGGAACCGCAGACAGTCATATATGACTGAATGGATATCACACACACATTTGTAAAGTAAACCGCACTTCAATTCAATGTAATATAATTGTGTATCAGACTTGGTAGTGTAGGGACAGGCAACCTCTGCACTTCAGTTGTGGTAAAACTACAGACCCCCATCATACGCGCCTCTGGAAGTCGTGCCTCAGAGCTGGTGGTACATGCTAATGGCACTCTGGCCGGTGTCCAAGTGGTGCACCTCCCAGCTTCCTGTCCAGCTCATTGATGTCACTGGTTGCCAGGTGCTAGGCGGAACACCGGCCAGAGGGTCTCGCTTAACTCCTGGCAACCACTGATGTCGTTGGTTGCCAATGGCTGAGCGGGATGACGGCCATAGCATCACAGGTTGCTCAGACCTGGGAGGGGAGATATGTGTGCCCCTTATAAATCTCCCTGTACAGCTCTTAGCAACCTGGGACACTCTGGCTGAAAAAGGGGCAACAGACAGACCCATGTGACCCAAAGAGATGCCACCTGAGGCAACAGCATTGGACTACCTCATTATAGAATCGGCCCTGCCTTAGAAGACTTTTAGTTCACGACAGATGAAATGCCGAGGTTGCACTCTTTTGGCTGAATGGGCACACATTCCCACAGACGCACTCAAAAATGTTGTGGAACGCCTTTTCAGAATAGTGGAAGATATTTTGACTGCAAAGGAGGGGGCATTACTTAATTTAATGGCCATGGTTTTGAAACAAGATCATATAAGTGTGATGGTCACTTGTTCACAAACATTTGGCTATATTGTATGACTGTAGCTGTTGGTTTTGTTATTTATCGTGTCTAATATTACGGTCAACTATGGCAGCCCCCAAATTTCTCTTCCCATAAGATATATAAAGTAGTTGCAACACTAAACTGATATTTGCTCAATGAATATATGAATTTGTTCTCTCTCTCTCTCGATATACCGAGTATTTGGGTGGGTAATAACTCGCCCCTGGCTTCCTGATTGGCCGGGAAGCCGGCTACATACTCCCTCGTCACTTGGTGATGAGGATACATGGAGCCAGCTTCCCGGCCAATCAGGAAACCGTCGGGCGTGTAATAACTGGCTTCCTGATTGTTTGGGAAGTTGGCCAATCAGGAACCCAGGCAGCAAGTCATTACCCACCTCCCGGCTTCCTGATTGGCCAGAAAGCCAGCTCCATGCTTCCTCGTCACCTTGTGACGAGGGAGCATGGAGATGGCTTCCCGGCTAATCTGGAAGCAGGGCGGCGAGTCATTACACTATGCCCGGCTTCCTTAATGGCATTTCCGGTATTGGTATTCGTTATTAGCAAGTACCGGAAAAAAAATATATCTGTACTCTTAATCGATACCTAAAAACCAGAATCGGTGCATCCCTAATATATACCGTATTTTCCAGGCGTATAAGGCGACTGGGTGTATAAGACGACCCCCCTAATTTTCCACTTAAAACATAGGTTTTGGGCTATACTCGTCATATAAGACTACCCCACTTCCGAGGCAACACCAAAAACATCATGGATGGATGTGCTGTAATACTGTATGTACGGCAGCTTCAGCTACATACAGTATACCGCGCTGCGCCAATCATGGCGAGCGATGTATTCTATTAATGAATACAAAGCCTGCTTGGATTGGCAGAGGTTGTGTACATCGCTCGCCGTGATTGGCTCAGCGCCAATCATGGCGCTGTATGTAGCCGAAGCTACCGTACATACAGTATTACCACACATCCAGCGGGCTGACGAATTAGGGATGTTCGTTTTGGGCCAGCTTGGCCCAAACGAACTAAAGGTATACATTGTATACCCCGCGTATAAGACCACCCCCGATTTTCGAGGGATGTTTTTAAGTATAAAAAGTAGTCTAAATTTGCCCATTAACCTTACCATTATCGTACAATTTTCGTATGCGATCGACTTTTCGGCCGATAATCGTATGTGTGCATTGCAGTGTCCGACCGACAGTACGACTTTTGACGGTCAAGCATGTTTGCAAACTTTGCTCGATCGTACGATTGTCGTAAGGTTGCTGGCGTTTCCGTCCGTCAAAAGTCGTACGATGTACACTACGCTTGCGCTAACGAAAATACGGCAAATCAATTACCGCATTTCGTCCGGGTGCTTTTCGTCAATTACGGCTAAATTAATCTTGCGATCATCGGGGCCGGATGGGGCTGCCGTACGAAAATCGCACGACTATTCGATCATCGGACGAAAAGTTTCGTCCGATAGTCGTAAGGTGTATGGGCAACATTATACGCCAGCAAATACAGTATATATTTTTCTATATTATGAAATTATTTTCAGTTTGTTATGTATGTGTAGGGATCCTTTCATTAAATTTAGATGCTTCCTTTTTAGTGCGCGATGTAAAAACGGGCCAATACCTGAGCACACTGTCCCATCCGGACGTCTCCCGCCTCCTGTGTCTCGCCTTGTGTCGCGCTTCCAATGGGCTCTGCCGTTGGGTGACAGGAGGTAAAGAACTGCTGATGTGGGAGGAGCTACCAAAAAGAGCTGCAGGAGATATGTAAGTCGTCCTTTTCCGCCTTCTTCTTGTGTTTTTTGTTTTCTTGCAAATATGAAGCCTGATTTGTTTTATTTTTTGTATAGGGATCAGCTATGGAGTACTGACAGCCCCTGTAGTAAAATAAACATTTCTCACATTTACTGATTGCAGAAGACAGAGTTCGATCCCCGTACAGGTTTTCATTACTATCCAGGACTGCAGCAGAGAGAACTTATTTCCCTTTTGACACAGTATATTGATTTTCAAAATCTAGAACCTGACTCCAAGTAGTTCATGGCATGGACGGTTTGACGATACAAATAAGTGGTAAAAAAAGAAAAACAAATTCCCCCTGTCCCCTAACCTTGACCTGAACACTCCCTCACATTTAACAGTCCCCTCAGAAGAACCTTATGTATTAACATTATTCCTAAACTAACCACTGACCTAACCCTGAGGCTCAACTTCACCCTTTCACTCAACCCACAACCCTTAACCTAACCCTGAAAATTAACACTAAGGCCCCATTCACACTGAGCGATTTATCGCGTGGATAATTCCCGCGATATCGCGGCTATTTACCGCGCGATATCGCTCTCCAATGCATGGCAATGGGGCTCTGTCCGTCACTGTCGTGCGTCGCTACAGCAGGACCCTTTTTGGAGCGGATTTTGCCGCGATTCTAGCTTGCTCAATGCAAGCATTTGCGCGATATCACGCAAAATGCAAAGCGCGCGACAAACGCGCGATTTACGAATCGCTCAGTGTGAATGGGGCCTTAAGGGATAATTAAACCGTCCAGTTTTTTGCATATATCTAATGCTAGCAAGCAGTAGATACAGGCAGTCCCCGGGCTACGAACAAGATAGGGACTGTAGGTTTGTTCTTAAGTTGAATTTGTACGTAAGTTGGAACAGGTAAATTTTTTAAGTGTAACTCCAGCCAAAAAATGTTTTTTGTTTGTTTTGGATAGCATAGGGAAGGGTTAACCCCCTGTAAAGTTTGTTTTGCTGTGTGTGCCGCTGTTCAGAAGATTTCCTCTCACTTTCTGCCCCTGAGACAATTGGACTTTGGAAATGTTGGGTTGTTGTGGACACAAGGATTAGTGATAAAGCTTCAGTGGGGACACCTTTTTCCCATAATCACTCTTACAGGAGTGAATTTCCCTTCCTAGGGGTAGATTTCCTTTAACTTCATGTTGTCTCAAGGACAGGAAGTGAGATGAAATCTTTCTAATGAGGATACAGACAGCAGTAAAAACCTCACAGTGGCTGGAAGAAGAGGTGGGCACCCCTCGTCTGCACATCTAACAAGAGCCAACTTCCTGTAATGTACGTACAGTACTACAAACCAGACCCAAAAAGGCGGGTACTCCTCGTCAGCACGAGCGCGGTAGCATTACAACTACCCCTGCTGTACAGTAATGGCCTCCGTCTGTAAGTAGGAGTCGGATGTATGTAACTTGGGGACTGCCTGTATATGCAAAAACATTAAAAAGTAAAGTTAAGAAGAGGATTAAAACTTACCTGTGTCTCCACTGCTCGCTCCCGTCCGAAGATCTGAGGATTCCCAGGCGGCCCGCAAAGGAGCTTGGGGCCGACGCATGCACAGTTCAGATGTTCGGCCGGGAGACGAGGAGAGACACAAGGTAAGTCGTGCAGCCGCATGCAGACACCGTGGGACATGAGAGGAGGACAGAGGAGTCAGCGCTGGATCGGAGACCCGCACCAGCGCTGGAGGGACAGATGGAAAAGAACAGGAAAGAAGAAGATGATCGGATTAAGAGACATCATTTAAGGTAAGTCCTTACATTAGCATTAGGGGGGGGGGGGGGGGGGGGGCAGACTTTTGACTTTAATGTCACTTTAATGTAATCCCTTAACACTAAACTAACCCCTTCAAATCCATACTTACCTGGCCATCGGCAAGAGAATCAGGCTGTTCCAGTACTGATGCCTCCAAGTTCCTGCCCCAGATACAAGCAGCGACGTGTTTTTTGGTGCTGAAACTGATTTACATCTGACAGGCTGAATCTGCTGTTTTTCAGGTGAGATGCTTGTCACCAGCCAGAGTTCTCATTAAATTTTTAGTAAATCCTTGGAAAATGTAGAACACAAATACCATATCCTGCTCCCTTGAGTGGTTTCTCTGTGGGGATATATATAAGACTCACAGGCCGGTGCCACATTTTGCTTGATAGAAATGACGAGCACGCTGTCTCTCTTAATGGTGCGAGAGGAGATTGGATAACAAGAGCTCGGTTTTCCTTACATGTTAACCCCTACATTCAGGGCCGGATTTCCTACAAAGCCAACCGAGGCCCGGCCTCGGGGCAGCAGGGAGTAGAGGGGCAGCAGGGGTGTGGAATTCCTATCTCCCGATGCCCATGACATGAAGTTCTGGGCGCCAGGCGGGTATTTGTTTTCTACATTTAGCCCTGATTTGGGCAAGCAGAGCTAAATGTACAGCGGGGAAACCGCCTCTTGTTTTGTACAAGTGATCTCGGCGATGTCTCTGAGATCACATGTATGCATCCTGCATACAGCGGGGCGCATTGAGGAACCTGGCCTTGGGGCAGCAGAGAGAGTAAATCCGGCCCTACCTACATTGCCTGATTATTACTAACAATGACTGAATCAGTCGCAACATCATTTGCATGTACTGAGCATTGTATGAATGGTGTATCCAAATAGGTAATATTTGTGGAGAAAAAGAAAACTTGCACATGCAGGAATGCACCGAATGCGTGACTTTCTTAAAGTACCGCCTTATACCTACCGACAGCCTCATACAGCCATTGATGTCTATGGGCAGCTGTACGCAGCACCTACTGCATCCCAGGCATGGAAATAGGCCTGAATTCTACATGTACAGACCCATGCACTAAAAATGATCCTGCAACGATTGCTTTCCTTGTGCACCTTTGTGTTCTTCAGTCCACCCTGTGCATTTAATAACTCTCCTTCTTTTTCTTCTAATGTAGCTCAGCAGTTCAGGTCCAGTTTTGTGCAGAGTTCCTGAATCCTGCTCCAGAAAGTGAGTCAGAAGAGGATGAAGGTAAGCCGCTAATAGAAAGTCATGTGGGTGAAAAATATGTCTCCCCAGAGGTTTAGATGTTTTGCTTTCTGCATTTATCTCTCCATTTAGCTGTATCTAGTTTCGATTATCTGCTGAACTTTGCTGCATTAATAAGCAGAAGGCTGTGATGGAGGGGGGAAGAGAAATAGATGCTGTACTTGGTGGCACTATTAACCAAGGCTTTAGCGTATCTTGGAGTTATCAAGCTTAAAGCAAACCAGTGGCCAGGCTATGGAATTCAAGTCCTTCCATTTTCTTTGCAAGCTCTAAATGAGCTTTACATCGAGCTCTAACTAACCTCGGTAGCTGCAGGCTCTGCGGAGCAATATATTCTCAAAGGTCACTAGAGAAGCACTGAAGTAATTTCTCATCAGCTTAATGCACCATG